AATCTTCTGTGTATCGCTCCAATTTTAACGGATGTCCCGGAGGACGGCCGAACATTTCTTCTCTGATAATGTGCTTGCAATTTTTGTGGTCGCTTACGTGTTGATATGTCTTATGAAGTTACACAAAAATTTCATCCGCTTACTTGTCTATTGATAATAGCTATAGTCAGTCAACTTATTATCTATATCTTACCTATCCTATCGTCTTCCCCCAAATCGTCTTCAAATTTTGCGCATTTCATCGGTAGCTAATAGCTATATCCAAGCTATATGATGATTTACAAAAATTTACGTCCACCTATCATCTTCCCCCAAACACAACACACCATGATCATGAATGTATGCTGGTGATCTTTCCGGTTTCTTACGGCGATGATGAGGCTCCGCGCTGTGTTCAGAGAGGAAGACTGACTGTAGGAGTCGTGCTGAACGGCAACGTACGAGGTTGAGGCCTTATCGTAGTCAGAAGACTAAGAAGGGGAACATTTATTGAAGTAATTATTGTTATTAATTACTATTTATTAATGAATAATTATTATATATAAATTTCAAATTTGTAACATTGAAAGGATTCATGCTGCAGGCACCGCGAGTCAGCCCGGTACCCGACAAGAGAAGTCCAGTCCAGTCCAGCCCAGTCCCAAGTCCTATTTTTTGCAGCATGTCCCAGGAACGTCTGGAAGCTACGGGACCTACAAAATGTTTGCAGCCGACAGGCTGCGGCCGACCGGTACCGGTCCGAAGCAGGCCAAGCCAAGTCCAACTGTATTTTATTATTTAGCTGCCACAGTGCAGCGGCTCATCACTTGTTCGATTGCAAGATGCGGAAGCGCTGCTGCTGCTAGTGCGTAAGGCAACTTGGGCACTTCGCGCCCGAGGGAGGAGGGGGGCGACCGAAGTTACTCCATAGCTAGGGCAGAGGGAAATAGGAAGTAGAGCGGCCATAGCCACCGAGTGTGAAGCTTATCTGGGTGGATGTATCGAGGGTACGATCTAGGGTTAGGCAGAGAGAGTGAGACAGAGCGGACCGAGTCAGAGAGAACAGCAATACCAAGAGAAGAGAGAGAGAGAGAGAGAGAGAGAGAGAGAGAGAGAGAGAGAGAGAGAGATTTGCGGTGCAATTTTGTTCTTGTAGGTATAGCTGTGACAACTTTGAAGCCAAGACGGAGGAAACAAGAAATGTGAACTCCAATCACAAACCAACAACCACATTGACATGCAAAGAAAATGGGGATGAAATGGTTTAGTACTGTACTGTTTCTATCTTTCATCATCCCCCCCCCCCTCCCTCCCCTCCCTCCTCTCCCTCCTTTCTCCTAAAACGTTTCGTGACTTCATAGGCGTGTCACCAGCTTAACTCCCGAAGAGAGCATTCCACTACCGGTAGGAGTGATTTGTAGGATCACAAAGAAGTCCATTGACAACTTCATTCATCCTTTCTTCCTCAGATTCTGAAAGTTACCCCTTGTCTGGTGTTACCCCTTTTTGCAATTACCCTTTTCTGGTGTTACCCCTTTTCGAAATTACCCTTCTCTGGTGTTACCCCGTTTCGCAATTACGGAGCAGGACATCACAGAGTTGGTGATGGCGGCAGCTGCAATGCTGCTGGCTCACGCAAGCATGCGTTGCATGGATCCAGAAGCTTCGCCCTTTGTTTTTTTTTAATTCTTTTTGTTTTCCTTTTTTAGAGCTGGGGTGGTGGAAATGTTAAAGATGACCGACTTAAAATCCATTTGTACGGGCAAAAAAAAAAAAAAAAAAAAAAAAAAAAAAAAGGGATGGTTGGATTCGGAAGAATGGCGTGCGGAGTCTGAAATCAAGCTCGCTTGGTGAAAATGGTAAACATGACAGACTTAAAATTTAAAATCCATTCGTACGGGGGAAAAAAACAAACAAACAAATCCATTCCTAGAGGTTATCGGTTGAAGCCCGATAGTCCGTCCGCATACGTGCTTGGGATGGCGGGACAGATCGGACGAGGAGGGTGGGTGGGCACTGGCACTGGGAGCACATTTCAACGTGCAGGTCTCGATGCCTACCGGAGGGCGCTCTTCTTTCGTCCGTAGTGCACGGCAAGGACTGACAAGAGGGCGGCGCTGCGGCGGCATGGTATGATGTTCTTGCAGAAAAGAGAGTGAGGGAGGGGTTGAGGGAGAGCTGTGTTCATGGACTTCGTTATGGACCACCACGCTTCCGTCCTTGCACGGGATTTGCAGATGATTGACGATTCATTCCCTACAGTGACACATGTCCTGTGTGCAGCGCCCAACATCCGCTCGATGCTCCGGGACTGGAGGATGTTTCGCTGCGCTGCAGACATCGCATAGCGAAAGCAAATGCGTCGCGTGGTTCTAGCAGTCCGCGAAGAGTTTGCTTGGCCTTTCTGCTTGCTGAACTTGGTGCAAGATGGTTTTTTTTTTTTTTTTTTTTTTTTTTTT